GCTTCTTTTTAGCACAATTTACAAAAGGTTTCGATATGAGAAAACTATTTTTTTGCCTCATGTATGCTATATGCCAATATAAGTTGAGGCGAGGAGTGATAGCGAACGAAAAGAAATCCTAAAATGTTCCTGAATATCGCTAATATATCTTGAATCTAGGCTCCATGGAATTGTAAGGAATTTAAAAGTTAAAAGAAGAACAATTTTTTGGCAAGAAGTTTTCGATAATAGCATTCCGGTGAGTTGTTTTCTCAACTAAATCAGTTTGGTTGCATCCAGCTATTATTGCAGGAATATGACTCCATAATACACATTTGGAGAGGAAGAACTCATCAAGAAATCATGAGCGAGGTAAAAAATGTTACAGCGAAAGGTTATAACGCTATTGTGTCGGCATGCTGGTAAGATTCGATACGGTTCTTGATAGTTCATAAACATTGAGACGACCATGGATATAAGCAGGTAGATTTTCTATGGAAACCTCCACAAAGTTAAATTGCTTTTCTCTAAAATTTAGATGAAGGTATTTTACACATTAAAGTATTTTTTGAGATGTTCAAACTCTCGCTCTGTGTAAAAGGGATTTGATCAATAATGTTCTACCTTACAAGTTTCTCAAACTTGCTCCATATCCTTCCTCATTCCCCTTCCCTCTCTCCTTTTTTTTAAATGTTAAACATATGCATATACTTCCACTTGAAATCTGTGTAAACCAGTGAGTCCTACTTTTCTGCTTGAGGTAAACAAGTCATCCATTTAAATTGAATCTGTTGGAAAAAGCATAATCACTTGAAGGAATTTTATACTAATACGCAATACAAGATGATTGTTATTAGCAAAATGATTCATGAACTTTTCAAAGTGAAATGCTTGAAAACCATTTTCAAGTAATTGTAAAAGTTCACCTAGGTACCTCAATCGTATTAAGTATGGAGCTGACTGGAAAGATGAGTTAAAACGATTCAATCAATCAGATTCTAGGTATAGTTTGCATTCCATTATTACTGAAAAGAGTTTAGGAAAGAAAATAATTTTGCATACCATCATTTCGAATAGCTTTATATTTCCGAGGTTTTTTAAAATTGATTTTGTCTTCTACACCAATGATTTAGTATTTCTTTTCTATGAATGCTAAGTAGGAAACTAAAAAGTGCTCTAATATATTCACGTGCAAGTGCATTCGCATATCTTTTAGATATTATTACTGCGATCCCACCGACTTTGAAGGAAATGATCAACAAAAAGCACTTGTGCTTGGAGGTATCGCAGCCATTTGGGGTGAAATGGTAGATAATACCAACATCGAGAGCCGACTGTGGTAAATTTCTAACATTGACATTGGGTTTCAAAGCCTTAAATGGTTTTTAACACTATATACCTAAAGTTGATCAAAGCACATCCTTCAGAATTTGCTGAACTAAACGCAGCATTATATAAATAACTGAATTCTATGGTTTTCTCTTAGCTTCCCAAAACCCAGCGATTTTTCACTCTATTCTTTCAGGCCAAGGGCTTCCGCAGTTGCGGAACGATTGTGGTCACCAAAAGAAAACACCAAAAAGGTACATGATTATTTTTGTTTAAATAATAGTAATAGATGATATATTGATTACAACAAATTTTGACAGGCAGAAGATGCTTGGCC